TGCCAAAAAGTACAATATGTGTTATTATAATAAACCTGGCGAGATGTGCGCCTAAATACTTTTGTCCAATAAAAACAGAAACTACATAGTGATTATGTCCAATTAAAGCGAATATGTAGTCTACATTAAAGAGAAGTCGCACTCTCTCGCCAAACCGCAACACTGCCGCTCTGCTGGACATGGCGAGCCAGTCGGATCTCCAGCCTGGAGTCGAGGAGATAGCCGCATTCGTGGACGACAGCGTCTTCACTCAGTTGAGCGCGAAACTGGGGGACGCGAAGGAAGGCAACGAAGGAGCACTGGAGAAGAAGCCTCTTCGCATCGATAAGTATTTGAAAAAATATCGCGACGCGGGGCTCCGGGTCTCTCAGCAAGAATTTAAGGGATGCTTGGAGGTGAAGATCAGAATCGTATACGAGTACCCAGACGTGACGGTCGATCTTGCGGAAACCATTACGGTCAAGACGGTGAAAGACCTCCTGGCAAAGTTTGTTCCGGAAGACAACCCCCTCATCACCAAGCTGGGTGAAGACGAAATGATTCGACTCTCGGATGCGTTCACTAAAGTCACGTACGTCGGCGAAGCCCACCTCGACCTCGCACAGTATCTGCGGGACTGCTGGAAGGCCTACACCCCCACAAAGTACAAGGCGCCATGTGTGGCGGTCGTGCAGAGTTCTGGCTTCGGCAAGAGTCGGATGGTGCGTGAACTCGCGATTGAGGCTCAAAAGAGCGCCTTGAACATGAAAGTCCTGTACATGTGTGCCCGTGTGCACGAGTCGACGGGGTTTCCCAAGGCTACGAGCGAGCTTCGTGGTTGGCTGTTTCAAGAAGGCTCCGAAGTGGAAGACATCGCCAGTCGATTGAAGACAATTTACGTCTACGCGAACAAGCATTGGGCGGACGTTCAGGAGGAATGGCTGAAGCTGTTTACCGAAAAGGCAGCGGACACCTCTGTAAAGGCGAAACTTTCGGATGAAACAGATACGCTGGAGGGGGATACCTCTACTGAGAAGAATCCAAATGGCAGAATCGTGGTTCTGGTGATCGATGAAGCGAGAAGCCTGCTGGCTGAGAAGCCAGACAAGAAGAATGACTTCCGAATGTTGCGAAATGCTCTCAGATCCGTGAACAAAGATATCGGCCATCGTGGATGCATTTTCGGCGTGCTGATTGATACGAACTCCAGGATCTCGGACCTGGCGCCTCCGCTGTTGTTGGACCCATCATCTCGGCTTTTCGATGGAGAGTTGGCATCGTTTGCGCCAGTTGTGTTAGCTGAGACAATGGACGCACACTGGGATCAATACTGTGAAGAAAAACAAGCCGGCGAAGATGAAGAAATGAAAGAGGACATCCAAGATGTAGATGAAGAAATGAAAGAGGAAATACTAGATGCGGGAGCAGAAGATGAAGAAATGGAAGAGGAAACTCAGGTTGCGGTGGGAGCTGAAAAAGACGAAGAGAAGAAGAAACAGCAAGAACGTGCTAAGATAGCTATGTACAAGAGAATCGTTACCGGGGATGCGAGTCAAGCTTGGCACGCGTTGTGCCGCATGGGGCGTCCGATGTGGTACAGCACTTGCCCCAATCCTGCGGATAGAGAAGATGTGATCAATCTTGCGGCGAACAAGCTGCTACTGGGGATTCCCCCTTCGCAAAATGCGTACAACAAGGATACCATGCTTGGTGTCGCCTCCATGCTTTGCCGTCTGGGCGTGCGCCCGCATTCAACGTCGGCTCTGGCATCTCGGGCGACTGCCGACTTCATGGCGATTCTCGCGTATGTGAATTTCAAGCGAGAAGGTTACGTCACCAGCTACGCTTCGGACCCAGTGCTCGCCTTAGGAGCGATGAAAGTGTGGTATGAACTGAAACATGGTTTGGCAAAGTATATCCTGCCGCAACTCAAGAACCTCCTTTTGGATGAAGCATTGGACACCGGTGGAGTTGGCGAAATTGGCGAGATGGTTGCTCGGATTTTGCTGCTTCTGGCGATGGACACGTGTGTGATGGGGGACAAAGACTTTTCCCAGTGCTACCACACGATCGGGCAATTTGTACCGGTGCAGGATTTCTTGGACGTGCTGCAAGGCAACAAGGAGAGACCGATATATTGTAAGGGGATGTACAACGCGGAAGATAAGAGACCAGAAATCAACGAGTGGCGCTCGCAGTGGGAGGGTTGGTACGTGGGGTTCACCCACTATGTGCAGTTGCGGCTCGAGCCGAATGAGGACACGCTTTGGTTTTTGCTGGGGCGTCAAGCTGCAGGTATTTTCCCCCGTAACCAGTATGGAGCCGATTTGTTGATCCCGATGTTTAAGAAGAGATCCAACAGCAGGCCAGTCGGTGGGGAGACAACGAGGGGTGAACAAGAGGAGCAGGAAGTGTTGATGATGTTGATTCAAGTGAAGAATCGTTCCCCAGTCGATGGTGGGTTTTCCAGGGCAGCGACGGAGAAACTATGCCCCTGGTTTGTGTTCGGAAAGAACAGTGATGGGAACTCGTCAGCGGGGAAATCTACCGGTGAAATTGGTGGGGATCCGAAACCGCTGAGCTCCACGGATGTCCGTGATACCATTCGCATCTACATGAATGTGCGCGGTAGAACGCGTGACGGCAAGTTCATCTATGCCACGACAATGAAAGACAATCTTAAGCCCAAGAAGAAAGGCAACGCCTCTGAGGTGAAGGAGGAGAGTCAGACGATCGGGAGTCAGGCGAAGAAGTGGGCGAAGATCGAGAGCAATCCTGGCGTCTCAAGTGTGTCGAGTGTCTCGGAGGAGGATCCTGTTTTCACGATCTGCCTCCGTTTACTCAACAGGGTCACCTACCCGTTCCTGAGCGAGGACGTGGCTTCCATTCTATCAAACATGGTGGAGTCTCAGTATGACCCGCTGGGGCTTGTGGAGGGCGACCTGGACTATCGCGATGAAGATGAAAAACGAAACAAGGACGTTAGTTCGTATGCGAAGTTGTCGCTTACCGCGAAGCGCGACAAGTTGTTGCAGAACGCCCGTAAAGCACTAGCGTACGCGCCGGGTGACAAGGAAGAAGAGTGACGCTGAGAGTGACGTTGGTGGCAGTGGTGAGGGCCACTAGGCGATCAAGGTGGCGAGACGGAAACATCCAAGAAACGAGCACGTGAAAACCAAGAGGGTGAAGAAGGCCGTCCCACTAAACGCGCCAAGTGATCCAACAAGACGCCCAAGCCCACACCGAGGCAGTAACAGTACGTACCTGGTGCCTGCAGCAACTAGTTTTAACTACCAACAATTTGTTTTACTTGAGAGTACGCAGCCACCTCCAGTACGCTTCACCTTGCAGTTCTTACGGAAGTAGCACGTCTTTTGCTGTCTACGTCGTCTTTACTGCTCTACCTACTCGTCCTGCAGGAACGGGTATTATAGTCCGTGTACCCGCGCGCGTCGCCGAGGTAGAACGTGTCCGTGTCGTAGTCGTTCACGGGCTTGTTGAGTTGGAAGCGCCGCACCAGGTCCGGGTTCGAGATGAAGTGGCGGCCGATGGCCACGGCGTCGGCCGCGCCCTCCTCCACGATCTGCACGGCCGACTGCCGGTCGAAGCCCGACGCGGCGAGGAGCACGCCCTTGTACGTCTCGCGGAACTGCCGCGCCGAGCCCTTCTCGGGTGCCAGCGGGTCACGCACGTGGTAGCCACGCGGCTCGATCAGGTGCGCGTAGGCCAGGTCGTAGTTCTTGAGCCTGTTCAGCACGTACGTGTAGGTGGCGACGGGGTCCGAGTCCTTGTCGCCGAAGCTGCCGCCGAACGGGGACAGTCGGATGCCCACCTTGGACGAGTCCAGACTCTCGAGGATGGCCTCCAGTGCCTCGAACAGGAAGCGCGCGCGGTTCTCGACGCTGCCGCCGTACTGGTCGGTGCGGTCGTTGATGCCGTCGTGCAGGAACTGCTCCAGCAAGTAGCCGTTGGCGGCGTGCAGCTCGACGCCGTCGAAGCCCGCTTTGAGGGCGTTCTCCGCGGCCGAGCGGTAGTCCGCCACGATGCCCGGGATCTCGCTCGTCTCGAGCGCGCGCGGCGGCACGGGCTCCATGCGTCCTTCGCGCGTGACGATCTTCTTGCCGGCGCGCAGGACGCCGCCCGGCTGGGGCCGATGCGGCCCGTGTGGTCGTATCTTACCTATGGTATGTACCGCATCGCCGAAGTTATTGTTCGCACATTTATTAATACCATAAAGCGCACTAAACACTTGGTGGCAATTTGGCCGGACTTCCGAGACAACACTAGGAGGATTCTGGAAGCAAAACTCGGGCATTATTTTCAGGAAGAAATACTCTACTTTTGATACGTAGCCATGTATTTACCAAACTACGCACTGTACGGGACTAGACTTGATTGAAATTTGTGACTGGGTTTGGCGGTGCTTTCCAATACAAACATCAAGTATAAAGGATTTGTATTGACCCGGAAAAAAATCGATCGAGTTTTCTGGTACATGTTGCTGAACTGAGCAAGCCCAGCATCGCTACCATGTTGAATAGACGCCAATGAAGACACTAGTCAGCTGACAGCCTCAACTTCGAGTATAGACCTCTCCACACTGTCAAACACCACTCTTCTATACAAATTCAAGATAGTGCGTGTCTCCATTGAATCTTATCAACCGCGTCAGCTTAACCTTATTTGAGCAGCTTACTACAGTGAAGTGCGTCGATAAGGAACGGGCGACATTTTATATTCTACGACAAGACATGAATCCTCGCTTGTACCCATTGTGTGCCAATTGTACTGAATTAGTTATATGATTCTACCAATCATTCGGTCCCGTTTAACATTCCGCCAATCACAGTTCCGAAACCGAGCCTCAAGAGCGGCTGGATGGAGCGGCTCCCAAGTCGGGGAAAATGGAACCTAAAGGTCGCGAGAGGGAATCATGAGGATCGCTGTGAGCGCGGGAATCGCGCCAGGTACATGTCTGCATGCCTCATTAACCAACTTTCGCTCTGCTGCTCACAACTCCCATGGTGACCGCCACTTCCAGACCGTTCCAGAGGTGGCTACGTCTGACCAAGCTTCAGTCGCTGCTAATCTGTCATCGCCGTCGTGATCTACCGGGTGCTACCTATGCTGAGTTGGCTGCGTGGGCTCAAGCCGAGACTCTGGTCGCGAAGTCCGACATGAACTACATATTGCAGTAAATCAGTGCATTTGCTGTCTGCATGTGACGAGTCAAACCTTTAATTATCAATATACCTTTTTCTTTCAATGTATACCAGGCGTTCCTTATCGACGCACTTTACTGTACCGGTAGGCGTTATTCGAGCTGTTCAATGGAGTTAGTTCATTTATTACGCTTGAAACAGCTCTCCACGAGTTTGTTACCAATCTTACCGATAGCTTACCGGGTGCGGCTATAATTTTGACCCGACCCAAAGTCGGTTTTTCGTCCATTGCAAAAAAACGGTTACAGCTTTTTCGATTCTGATTGTTGCATCTGTTTTCTATCGATTTTAGACGAATCATAAGCAGCGGTTTGGCGCCGAAAGCACAATCATTGGTTTAAAAAAATAATTTTTGGGGTGCGGTTATAATTTCGGCGCGCACTGTATATCACGTAGATGCGGTACCGTGTTTCTGGTACAAAACTGAGGGAAGAAAAATCCAACCGGCCATTTCCACATTTCCCCTCCAAGCCTTGTCCTGTAGCGCCACTGCTGTGCTGCTGCAGATGGACATGTCCAGCCAGTTGGATCCCCAGGCTTTGGCCGCGTTCGTGGACGACAGTGTCTTTGCTCAGATGAGCGGGAAGCTTGGAGCAGACGCATCGCCGAAGAAAAATCTTTTCGTTACGTGGATGCTGGAAGACTATCCCAACAAAGCCACACTCCAACTCGAGGCCTCCCAGATCCAGATACATGGATTGATACAGGTGGAGATCAGAAGAGCATACGGGCATACACGCGTGTCTCGACCTCTTGCACAAACTATTGCGGCCAAGACGGTGAAAGACCTCCTGGCAAAGTTTGTCCCTGAAGCCCGCTCCGGCACGCCCAAGTTGGATGAAAATGAAATGAAGCGAATCGCGGAGGCGTTCACCAAGGGCCGGTACCTCGGCGAAGCCCACCTCGACCTCGCACAGTATCTGCGGGACTGCTGGAAGGCCTACACCCCCACAAAGTACAAGGCGCCATGTGTGGCGGTCGTGCAGAGTTCTGGCTTCGGCAAGAGTCGGATGGTGCGTGAACTCGCGATTGAGGCGCAAAAGAGCGCCTTGAACATGAAAGTCCTGTACATGTGTGCTCGTGTGCACGAGTCGACGGGGTTTCCCAAGGCTACGAGCGAGCTTCGTGGTTGGCTGTTTCAAGAAGGCTCCAAAGTGGAAGACATCGCCAGTCGATTGAAGACAATTTACGTCTACGCGAACAAGCATTGGGCGGACGTTCAGAAGGAATGGCTGAAGCTGTTTACCGAAAAGGCAGCGGACACCTCTGTAAAGGCGAAACTTTCGGATGAAACAGACACGCTGGAGGGGGATACCTCCACCGAGAAGAATCCAAATGGCAGAATCGTGGTTCTGGTGATCGATGAAGCGAGAAGCCTGCTAACTGAGAAGGGAGGCAAGAAGAATGACTTCCGAATGTTGCGAAATGCTCTCAGATCCGTGAACAAAGATATCGGCCATCGTGGATGCATTTTCGGCGTGCTGATTGATACGAACCCCAGGATCTCGGACCTGGCGCCTCCGCTGTTGTTGGACCCATCATCTCGGCTTTTCGATGGAGAGTTGGCATCGTTTGCGCCAGTTGTGTTAGCTGAGACAATGGACGCACACTGGGATCAATACTGTGAAGAAAAACAAGCCGGCGAAGATGAAGAAATGAAAGAGGACATCCAAGATGTAGATGAAGAAATGAAAGAGGAAATACTAGATGCGGGAGCAGAAGATGAAGAA